GAGAAGGGGAGATTATGAAAGCAGGAAAAACAATAAAAGTGGCACACACTGGTGCCAGTCTGATATTCCAAGATCCATCCTCACGAAAGTTAAGAGGCCTCTTGGCATATGGCTTCAGCTGAGACCCTGGGTAAAATAAAACCCCAAGGTCTCTATCTGAAAATACAAATGACAAATAAAGAGAAATTTCTGGAGGAGAGAGAACGGAGTGAGCCACCATGCATGTAACTGGCATTTAAAATCAGAAAACAAATGGAAATCTTGTTATCATCAATTATGACAAAATATAATGTCACATAAAAGCTCAAAAATGTAAGAGACAAGGTCCTTTGACTAAATATGCTCTAGCTGCATCCAGCACAAATTACACAGGCTGGAAAACTAAGCAGATTCTTACAGGATCAGGTATTATGTGAAGTGTTCAGGATTTGGGTTAATGAATAGTGTTCTCCAGATGTTCCATCATTGTTCCAGAGTGGGAGGAAAACTGGCTGCAGACCAAATCAAATTTTTATACTCCTCTTAGATAGTGCCAGACACTAAGATTTCACCAATATAACATCTGAGGCACAGAGACAACGCACCATGGTTGGATAACTCTATATTCAATCCATTTCGCTGAAGACAGGACAAATAAACTAAGAATCAGAACATTCAATGAGTCATATCAAAGGTATAAATTGAAAGTCAACACTTGTACTGCATATAATCTAGCTGAAAAAGAATTTATAGTCTGGAATTTCCCATTTAAACACTGCTGCTGCATCTTGCAGATATAATCCAAATGCTAGCTTTAAGCACTGCCAATCCTTCTGAGTTGGGTTTTCTGCTTACTTTATAATGTCTTTAGGATGCCCATCCTTCTCCAGAGTAACGGAGAGTTTGAAAAAATAAATTAATTCCTAAAAATGCCTAGTTTGCTTAGAAAAAGTGTACCAGTTAGTGTTTACTAAGGAGCTAAGATCAGCTTAATTTTTTAAACATTTCATTCTTTCTTTGTTAACAGAGTTAAACAAGAAAGTTTCTGGAATATGCAGAAACAGAGATCACTAGAGACAAAAAACAGCAGTCAGCATAACACTAGAAATGCCTAAGAGGTGATGACAGGAATAAAGCGTCAGCATCTACATTGGCCAACCCACCACAAGATATAAACCAAGATTTTCAAAAAATACACAGAAATTAATAATCATTTGCAAGTGTATTTTGAGTGCATAGATGATTCACGTGCTGAGCAATAGGAAAACTGATGCCAGGGAAAAGGGTGCACTTGGGCAATGAGTTTCAGTTTTGAGGCTTAAAAGCAGACTGGATGAGTTCTGAGACTGAAAAGCTAAGATCCAGTTCAGTTACACTAATCTGATTTGGTCCACACTTGTGCTTAAACTGATCATTTAGCCTAAAGGATTGAAGTGGGGGGGGGGCAGTGTGTGTTTGTGTGTGTGTGTGTGTGTGTGTGTGTGTGTGTGTGTGTGTACATGTCTGCTTGCTTCTGGGAACACATCCATAAGACCTAAACACCTGCACAGATGTTTTTTACACCCTCTGAAATCAGGTCAGCAGTGAACATTCACTGGGCATGAAACAACATTAAACTATAAAACATTCCCTGCCTGGTCTGGTGAGAATTTCTGTTTTGTGGCACAAGCAAGTATCTGGGAGATATACTGTAGATATACTCACTATGAGTATTTGATGTGCTGCTTCATAGGTGGGTGGCCTTTCTCTACTGGCACACATCTGGGGGTCGTACAACAGAAGATAAAACAAAAAAAGGAAGAAGACTCCATTGGACTGCTGCCCAAGAATAGATCCTGGCTGTGATCCTCTTAAAGCCCAAGGGATGCACCAGGGGTGCAGTAAAAACTTCTTTGGCTTCAGGGACAGAACAGAACCTGGAGGCAGGAAGCTGCTGCACCATGGTGGATAGGGAGATGAGACAGGAGGTGTGGGACAGCTGACTGAACACCATGCATGGAGCACATACCAAACTTAGCTTGTGCTAAGCCTAGGGCTGCATCTTCTCTGGATTCAGCAACAACCTGCATCAGGACAGTAAGAACTAAAATATTGTCACACCATTGAGAATTCGTGGAAATGTATCTTGTTTGAGTACCTCAACACTGAAATTCACTCATAACATAGTGCTTAGATGATATTCCCTTATAAACCAAATCTAACCAAACAAAACAAAATAAAACCAATTTAAAGAAACACACCCAAAATTTTTAAACTTTAAGGAGACCGAGAAATTCTCACCTTTCACTTCTCCAGTTGCAGAAACATGTCATGTAAGTGAAACAGTATTGACTGTTTCCTAAAAGGAAAGATCATTTGCATAATACAAAGTAAGAGTTTCAGAAAGCCTATTTTTATGTGAGTAACAATGCAGTAATGTAGCAAGTTGATAAAGAAGGTGCTGTAGGCTTAGAAACTCAGACTCCAGGTCTTGTTGACCTGTAGGTGAAAGATTTGAACTGTATGTTTTCATCTGGGGAATATCTTACATTTTAAACATAAAGCATGTTCTCTTCTGCCTTCATTTGCCTAAACAGATCTTGAATTTCCATTCAGCTCTAGCTTGTTGGTTTATTTCTTTTATAAGTAATTATTTACAAATTAGACTTCTTGAGAGTAAACTATCTGAGGACTTACACTCCCCTCTCTTCAAATATATGTGATAGGTCTAATTATTTTTCTGTAAAACTACAACCAACATTCTAAATAATGACAATCATTAGAAAACATTAGGGTCTGTCACTTGTAATCTTTGCCAACTGCTGATAACATTTTATTACTGCTTAGAAAGGTTGATTAAAGCTTGTAATAGATTTAGCGAGGGTGAAAGATTAACAAAAAGGTATTTATGATAGAAACACTAAAACATAAAATGTTCTCAGTAAACACTTGAAAAAAAACATCCCTGTGACATTTATAGAGATTGCTCAAGATAGTTTTTCATCTGCACAATGAAACCGATTACAAGTTCCTACACGCTAGGGGAAAAAAAAAAAGACATAAAGGGAGAGGAGCACATTACCTTTGCATGTCTCGTGTCAAAGCAAATGAGAAAGTGTTCTTCAAAAATAAACCCCTGAAGGAGCTCCTGGGAGTGCTCTTTGACCATTTGGACAGGCTCCTTTGAAACTACAGCAATGAAAATTAAAACCAGGCTGGATAAGAAGGTAGTGTCTAAGGGGTACATCTTTAAGCCTGGCCTTGGCCTCAGCCCAGCCCCGCACCCCAGCATGGGGCAGCAGACCCTGGTAGGGCTGGGCACTGCAGAGCACAGCAACTGAACACAGCCTGACTGGCACTCTGTGACAGGCTGGCAAGATGGACAGCCAGGTTTTCCCCCTGCTCATCATTCACTGGGAGAACCTCCTGCCAACAACAGCTCAGCACGTTTCAGTATGGAGAGGTTACTAAGGATGGAGAGAATCGCAAGAGCATTTGGAAGTAACCACATCCCTCACCAGCACTGATCTGCTGAGAGATCCCATCACCCTCTGGAGATGCTGACCTTGCAGTGCACAGCAAAGACTGAGTGCTGGTGCCTCAGGTGAGAACATGCATTCCTGTGGCATACTGCTGTCTCCCTCAAACATCTGGTCATTTAGCCAGTCATAGGGGCTACTTGCACTCACTAACTCAGTGGACAGCAGGATCAGCTTGCTCCTCTCTTCAGAACAGCCTCTGCTGAGGTCAGTGTGAAGGACCTGATGCAGGTGAGAAGCAAGGATCCAAACTCAGCAGTTACAACCCCAAGCTGAGGATGTGAATGCTTGAGAGCATTCAGATGAGAGATTCAGCTCAGTCCTGACTTTCTGCTGCCTGCTCTACCCCTCTCTATGTCCCTAGCCAAGGAGATGGAGCAGGAGGGTTCATCTGGTTTCCACAAGCCTGTGGCTCACCTTTGTGAAATAAACAGAGGTCCCTTCCGATAAGATGGAGTCACAGCATGCTGAGCAGGACAAGATACCAGAAATGACATTGGGAGGACTAACTGGTCCAGACTACCTACCTTAAGGCAACAGAGCAGGACTAGATGACCTGGCAAGGTCTTTCTGACCTGATTCTGTAACACTCTCCACAAATAGTCTTCTGGTTTTTTTAAAACAACGGACCAATATTTAACAGCACTCCACAAATGACTGACACCACAAAAATCATTTACCAGGAATAAACGACCAGCCAGATCACAGTCAAAACCAAACACATTTAAAAATAAAAACAATTTCTGTGCTATGCATGCCTTGACACATCTATAGCCAAATATACATTCACAGTCTGCAAACACATTAATGTGTAGCCACATTCACATCAGAGAGGTCAAACTGTGGTGAAGCAGAATGAGCTTGTGGTTAATCTGAGCAGAGAGCCACTGTCTGCAGCCTGTGAAAATGTTAGTACATTAAAGCACTGCAAAGTGGATGATAGATTATAGAACCAAGTTAACCTGCCCCAAACCATTCCTCAAATGCACCACACAGGCAATACTCATTTCAGGGATGACTCACAGCTTTCATGTTGAAAAGTGGAAAATTATTTTTAATGTCAAGTGATGGTCAAAGCTAAGGTTGTTAGTTGTACCAGAAGCAGTAAACCCAAACCTGCCTCAGGTTTAACTGTATCCTCCTGTGCCACAGCCAACATATTGTTCAAATACAACTTCTGAGATTAGGTTATGTAGTGGCACTTTTTTCCCTCATTCTTTCATACACTGGAAATGAATAAAGCCTTGACAAAAATATTTCCAGGCTATATAAAGATACACAAAGAGTAATAAATGTAAACAAAAATCTCATGTTTATGTGTTGATGTAGTGAGTCAGAATAAACATGACAGCTTTACCTGAGAAGTTAGAGTCTGAAAACAAACATCTTATGTTTGGCAACAGGCACAGAAGACTTTTAAAAGAAACACCAAAAATAAACTTAGCAACATACTTTACAACTCCCACAGGTAAGCCTCATTCACCCAGGCAGACTCACCAAAGACAAGAAAAAGGCAGAATCCTGTAATGCTGGGTGCTGAGCATCCCTCAGGCCCTGTATTCCACATGCTGCATTTATCCCACATAGCTGCCACTTGAAACCTGTCCCTGCAGGGCTTGACAGCAATCATTGTCCTGAAAACAATAACAAATTTGAAGTTCAGCAAAGGCTAGCATAGTGAACTAAACCCACAGAGCCCTCATAGGAAAGAAAGAGACTGGGATATGTGCAGTTATTTATTTCTAGCTTTTATACACTGGACATCAGCTCAGGCAGGATGTGACATACAACACTATGGTAAGGACTTGAACCTCATCAGGGAGGGCTGTTAGCCTCTTCTATCTCTTTGGTAATTCTGTTCTGACCTCTGTGACACCTGAATTCCTTATATATGATCCAGAAAGATGATTTTCTACCAGGGGAACAAGGAAGACAAGGGGATTGTGAAAGACACTGCTAACCCTGGATTGTGATAATGGAAAGTTAATTCCACATAGTCTAAACCATTTTGGAGTAGACAATGGGCAGAGTACTTCCACCTGGCAGAAATTCCAGTTTGACTGTGACAAACCATGGAAGAAATAGGGGAAATTTTGAAAGCTGGGTATTATGAGTAACATACCTTTAATCAAAGAATAGATAAAAGATCAGAAATCCCATGAAAGCCACAAAAACTTCCATACTGTCAGTGTCTGAACAAAGCTAAATATCCTGAATTGTAGTTCATCAGATGCAAAAGCATAGGATTAGCAGAGAAATCTGGGTAGGTTAGATTTAGTAGGATGTCTGGCCCCAATCTCAGATAGAAGCAATATTTCACTTTTTACCTCCCATTTAGAAAGTACCACAACACAAATTCACATAAAAAACATTGGTTTTTTGTCTGTGTCTGCTTGATTCAATAAAACTATAATGGCAAAGTATTTCCCCCTTACATTTAAAACCAAAGGTTAGCAAGCCAGAGGTTAAACCACGAGTTTTTTAATCAAGACTCTTTGCTCTTGAGTGGCAAAGCACAGTTTTTTTTCTAGCTTGGGACACAGCTACATAGGCAGAACTATGGCTTGTACTAACCACAGCCAGAGAAATTGCATCCTGTCTCTTTTTTTTTTTTTCATTAGTACAGTCATTTTATGAAAATATGCTGAAATAAATACATTTAAGAAGCAACAGAGTAATTGCCCTTCCCAGGGCTGTGAACTCTAATTTTTGCCTCTTCTACTGTAGTATCATTTCTTACACCTCAAGTATCACACATTCACACATTCATTAATGGTGTTTCAAGCTGAGGAAAGGGGAGTTATAACATGGTTCCCTGTGTGTTATATCTGGTGGGTTTTATTAGAAAATAAACCCACTCTCTGACTCTGTGTGTTATACCTGGTGTTTTTTGTTAGAAAGCAAGTTAAACCTTAATTCTCCAAATTTACTGCTAAATGACCAGGACATATTTTTTATCCTTCACTGAGTTCAGTTTGGCATCTTCTGAGGTCAGTGAGAGTTTTTTCACTGAATGTTGAAATACATCGTAATGAATCAATAATTTTCCACAATTGTTTGATAGATGGAACCTCTGTTTTGTTCCACAGATATTAAGAGAATTTTCTGCTATGTTACTCACTCATTTTTTCCTATTGCCCTGCGTAGACACTCTCTGCTTGTATCCAGATTTCCAGCAGGTTTTTGGTTTTTTTTTGTTTTAATGAAAATGATCATTCTTCTAGAGAGGTTTCCTTTCTCTTGGTGGCATCTTAGCTGTTGACAAAGTCAGTGGTCTTTGAGGAGTCAGGGCTCCACATATGCTACCCTTAGGGTGGGAATAAGCTTCCTAGAAGGAATCACTACTAGAGGTGATGGGACAAGCCCTGGATGGCAAAACTCTTTCATTCCCAGCCTAGGGAGTCCCCTGCTACTTCTGGGCCCATTCCCTATTGTGTCCTTGCAGCATCATCTCTCAGTATTACTCACCATTAAACTTCTTCCACTTCTGCTTGAAATGCCAGAAAGCTGAAAAAGAATTGGTGACCCTATTACATTTTATGAGGAAAAATCATTTAATTTGAAACAATCCCTTGTTTCTTGAAACTTTCTTTCTCTAAGTTCTTTCAATTTAATGAGTTAAGAGTACGTAACTTTAGTTCCCGGCCTTGAAAGAAATCTGATCCATCATCAGAAATTTTATCTATCTCCCTCTTGCAGACACATAGTACAGAAACATATTGGTCAGAAAAGAACAGAAGAATGCATATGCCTATCAAATATACTCAGGCTTGCAGGAGTTACCAAATATCTTTCTATATACAAGAGGCAGAGCTCTTCAAGGAAAGCTAGAGCATGTCAACTGCTTTTTCTGTGCTCCCCCAAAGCCCTGGAAAGGAACACAAAACTTGAGGTTAAATGCCCTTTTTGGCCCTCTGTGTGTGCACAAGACCCCCCTGCCTTGTGCTGATCAACAAAATATTTTACATTAGTATAGTTTTCCTGCTTTAATAGCTGCTTTTCTGTCCCACAGTATGCATAGTTGGCAATTTCCGTTGATATGGGAGATCATGAGGACTTAGATGTTACTACATTGTGCCCATATTCCAGTTTTCAGAATAGGTTTTTTATGCTAGCCAACATTAGAAATCATCCTCAGCACAAGCCAAGTCAAAAGCAAGGAAAAATACTTATTTATAAAATCCAAAATAAGCAACAGAGTTGTAGAGATTTTTAACATATGGCTTGCAAAAGGAAAGAAAACTTTCTCTAAAATCAAGTCCAAGAGGCCCCACCATCATCTCTTTCCTTCTTGTCTCACTTTGCATCTAACTGCCAAACAAGATCTAAGCCACATCTGACCCACGGGGACAGTGTCTCAGAGCTGGTGTACACCCTCCACTACAAATATATATTTGCAGAAGGGACCTCACAGCCAAGGAAGAAGGTTAACTTAAAACCCTGTACTCCTTCTTGGAGTTTTGCATGAAGGTTCATTCAAATTCATCTCCCCTCCTTCATTCAGGTGTTGGCTTCAATGTCATCTCCCTGGATTATTTACTGGCCTAACATTTTCAAATGCAAATTTCCCTTCAATAGGCCAGGTGCAAATATCTCTTATCCTTTACTGAGCTATCAATAAATCATTAATCCACAGAGGAGCAAAACACTCCTACTTATCAAGACAAATCTCAGTGTGAAGCTTTTCCAGGCTCCAAATTTCTTATTTCAAATCTGCATATAGATAGACAATCACAGCTGATGCTAACATTAAAGCATGATCTGTGCTTTTGGGGTAGAGGTCTGTGGGATGATTAATGCACTCCAGCTTCTCCCTGAACATTACCTTGAGCCCCATGTGACATGGCCACCAGGCCTGGAGGAAAAGCAGAAAGAGTCCTTGCTGTCAAGTGTGAGAAGGACAAGTGTTGGACAGTTTTCAGGATATTTAGGCTACAGAAATCCATGGCACCTGCAAGAGAGGATTTAAATAGATGTATTCTTCCAGTAGATTCTGACATATATTTATAATACAACATGAATAAAGGGGGGAAAGCCAGAGCAGAATCTAAGCCTAAGAATGTCTTAAGCCTCAGCAACTCCAAGTCACCTTATAAAAAATACCAGAAAGTCAGATGGGACACTGACTTTCAGGCAACCCTTGGACACCCAGGGAGCACAGCTCCTGCCTGAAGCTGACCCAGAGCAGGTGTACTGAGTATCAAAAAGCAAACCCCGCTCAGCTGTGCCTGCATCAGCACCTCAGCCCCCACACATCAGCCAGCCCGCTCCAGAGACCAGTCATCTGAAACCAGACCCTGCACCAAGGCCTGCTGAATGTGGAGCTGTGGTGCTGAGTCACCCTGTTTGGGGCTGCCCCCACATTTAAAAACATTTTGGTTATTGATCTAAAGATTCATGACTCACAGGCTCAATATAGTGCTGGGTTTAAAAGACTGCTTTGTTCTTGGAAGTGACACATATGGTCTCCTCAGGGCAGCCACCCTCCTCTGCGACACCTGCTTCCTCAGAAGAAACTCCACAAGGAGTTGAAGAGATGCACAAAAATTAAGTTACAGGGGAAGTGGGCTGTACAGCGATCACTCCATGCATACACTCTTTTCTAGTCTGCAAGGCTTGGATGTGGCAACCTTATCCATTCTGTGGTGCATCAGAGAGGATTACCATAATGTCTCTTCTCTCTTCCCAGGAGATGAAACTGAGATCTCCAGGACCATAAGGGATCATTCACTATGTGAAACTGTCTAACTGAACAGCTTTAAGCCAAAAGAAGAAATCAAATTGGACTCTATACACCTTGACTCTCTAAAGCCACAGAAATAACTAGGGGCCAAACTTCAAGGATCTCATCAAATTCATACATGGAAGCAGCTGCTAGTGACCTTGTTGGTGCTCAGTCATGTTCAGAAAATACAAGAGCATACTCTTTCATTGTGCTCTAGCATACTTTCTTTGCCTGGGGAAATTCATTTTGAATGTGTGATGTCTCTTTGAATTAAATGGCACAAGTTTTGTAATCAAGCACTGTTGAGCCAACAGAAGGACAAGGAATTATGGTATTTTAGTGTGGAATACACAAAAAAAGCCAAAAAAAATGGCCCAATATGCTGTAAAAGACCATAATACTTGCATTCATTCATACAAAAATTAAGTATATAATCACATGATGAGCAAAGGACTTCATATGATGGTATACAAATTTAAAACACATACAACCCTATTTAAATAAACTGCACACTCTGCTAGATTCCAAAAAAGATGAAGTTACAGTAATTGTCACTTTCAGTTTTATATAATTTTCCAAATAAAAATGTGAGAGTTGCCATTAACTAGTACTGACAATGCACATACAGTACACACATTTGTCAATTTCATTAACCTTCCAAATTAGGTATTCACGGGGAGCTAATGGCAGCATAACACATCATTACAATATTCAATGCAATTTCATGGATATTATGTATAGGGAGAAATTTTAGGCTCTCTTGTTCTTACAGCTGTTAGAAAATATTATACTTTGCAAATATCACATTAGTGATCGGCAAATGCTAAATAGCAAAATCTGAATAGCTTGAATTATGTCCCACTCTCCCGCCTCTCCTCATCGGGAATTGGGGTTGCCTCTATTTGTGTCATATTTGGCTGTAAGTGCAAATCATCTGCCTGGACTTTCTACCCTCCTCACCATTGCTAATACAGCTTCCACAGCCCAAATTAGGATCCACGAGATTTGCTCTTAATTTATCCATTAACTTTCTTAATGACCTTGGGCAAATCACTTAATTTCTTGCATCTGCAACAATTTCTTCTTAACAGGGCCCAGTGCAGATAAAATCTATTACAGACCATAAAGGTCTGAGGTACTGGTGGAAGGGTTAATTTCCTCCTCATAACTCTTAAGGGAGTTTTACTGTAATGGGAAGAGGATGTCTTCCAGCTGGAAATGAGAGTGGGAAGGCACTGGATATGAGAAGTAGAATGTGGGTAGGTATGGAAATAAGAAGAAAACAGTAGATACTTTGAATTATCTAAATTAAGGTTTATTTGGTGGTGAGCTGGGAGAAGGCGACTGCCTCTTCAGAAGAGAAGCAAAATGGAAAGGATCTTAAATAAAAGGAGTATTCTTAGGAAGTCAGAACGTGCAGGGAAGTAACTTTGTGGTGCACAAAATGGAGAGATGGGTCATAGGACTGTGCTTCTCAAAAAATAACATGTTCTTACCATCAGCAAAGGAATATGAAAGGAAAAGATTGTCCTGCAAGGCCAAAAGTGAACATGAATTACAAAAAACAGATTTTTCAACTTTGATGCACTTTAAACAGTTTTCTTTTCTAGACCTCTTTGAATTCCTCAAACCAGTCATATTTGAATAAAGTCAGCAGGACTGAACCTCACGGAAATTGCTCTAGCTTGAGCAGAAAATATTTGATTCTAAGACTTTTTCCTCTTTTGAATTAGAAGTGTTTAGAAAACAAAGCATAGGAAATTCTCAATATTTTTCCTTATGATCAGCATTAAAAGGTTTAAAAAATAAAAACCATCCGCAGTTATGGCAAAATAAACAAATTCCCATGGAAGCCATCCCCTAATGAAATGGTCAAGGTTACCCAAAGCAATTTAATTGAGATTTGCCTTCCTGCTTGATGCTGTTTCCCCTGCAGGCCCTACATAGAGATCAATATGAGACCTGTTTACCTTGTCAAACAGGTCTAGAGCTAAATGCCCCTGCAGAATTCCTTACCAAAGGAAAGTGGAGTTCTCCATAGGTGGAAGCATGGTGGGCAGCACCAGCACAGTGCTTCTAACCCAGTTCACTATGTTGAATCTTAAAATATCTGAGGTTCTCTGTTCATGGGAAATGCTTTGGACGGACCAGCTTCACAACAGCCAGCTCGTGTTAATTTGAATCACTTTGGTTTGCTTTTCTCACTGTTGCTCTCCCTGCCAAGGGCTGTCAAAACACATTGTCCTGCTTTCAGAAAAGAGCCACATACTGTGTCATGGAGAAATACAAAACACAGCTGATAAAACTGCACAGAAGAGTTCAGCTGTCTTCCCAGTCTACGTATTTAAATAGCATTCTCCTATAGAAGTGAAGCAGTTTGTACATTAATTTGCCTTTCTTCCCCTCCATATGGAGCACCTGCTTCACTTAGCCACCTCATTTTGTATTTAGTTTTTTTCTTTTAGTTCAGTTTTCCGTTTTGAAGGCTTGAGTACTAGGAAAGTGAGCTTTTAGCCTTCTTCCTCTCAGAAGAGTTAAAGTTAACCATCCAATCAGTTCTGGGGGTTTAAAAATGTGCTACATTGGCAGACTTTTATTGCTCAGTATCTCAACTTCTTAATGTAATATACAGAGAAAATATAAAACAAGATGGGTGACTCTGCATCTCCAATAATATGCAGAAAAAGACAAAGTAATGTTCCAGCTTCTTTAAATTCTAGCCAGCACAAAACTGTCTGATAACTAGGGAAAAAAATTAAAATAGCAAACTATATAAAAATAGCAAAATAAATAGCAACACTTTTTTCTTATAGTTGGAGATTTACTACAGACAGAAAAAGAGCAATCTTTGACACAGGAGAGAGGGAATATTTTTAATAACATGCCGTGCCAATTTGGCTTGTTCTTCCTATGCATAAAGTATCCTGGTGTCCTTTAAATTAAAAAAAAAAGTTCAAGCCGGACAGAAGTGCCAGCAAATGTTATAAGCCAGTGGATAGTGGGTGGGTGGTGTGAAAACGTTTCATAAATGCTAACAGCAACCCTGTTGTGAACCAAACAGCTGTGCACAGAACACAGGTGTGCTGCACAACAAGGGCTATTCATGCCTTCCCACAGGGCGCTGGCCAGGTTTGCAGAGCCACAGCTGACCACATAAAGCATTGAGGATGGAAAAGGCTGGGAGTGAAATGTCCACTGAAAGTGTAAACACCGGACACCACACACACACACACACACACACACGTACATTTTTAGCACGTTTTACTCACTGCTGTAATGAAAAGAGGTAAGAAAAGCCTATTCTCCTGTGGGAAGCAGGGAATATAATGACATCAGAAGTTAATAGGAATGTTGTATGCATGAAAAAATAGGTAAATAAAACAGAATTAGGATATGGCACAAGCCAAAATATTCATAATTTAACTGAACATATTGTTCCAATAAATTCTTTCTTCAATGTATCAAAGACATTTGTAATTATAGAAAATATAGAAGATATTCCAAATAATGCTGGCATAGGGGGTTACAGATTCTCTTTCCTTCTACAAACCTCCAAGAGAGAAGACAAATTTCAGGAAAGTAAAATATTATGGTTAAAAATTAAAACCATTTCCCTTTCATATGCTCTGCACAAAGTGTTTTTGCAGCTTTTCTTCCACAAATATTAGCGCAGTAAAGGTTGGGGGGATGGTTGGGTTTTGTTTCCTTTTCTTTTTTTAAACAGGATTTTAGGAAATGGTTTAAAACACAAGTGAAAAAATAATGATATTGAGGAATCCCTAAATTCTAATTCTGGGTATAGAAATCCTGCCTAGGGCATTTCACTTGAACACACAAGCAAATACTATGATTCAGCTGCAAAAGGTAGAATACCTCTGTGTAAAAGCAAAGGACTGCCTGCCCAAGCAGATCTTCTCTACCTACTGCACCTATTACAAAAAGTAAATTATTTGTTAAAAATACAGTCTCCAGATACAATATTTGTAGCCACATGGTATACATGAGGAATGAATGCTTGTTGTAGGTACAGAAAAGCCACTTTTCATGAAAAAAAAATGGCAATAAAAATGCAGCATACCATAACCATGATGCTGACTAATATGTCCACATTTAAAATTCTCACCAGGCAGTTCAAGGTGAAATGTCAGACAACACCAGCTTTGACACAGCAAAGCCCTGTCTGATTCCTACCACTGCTGATATTCCTGGCTTCATTTCTG